TTTCTGGACAGGATTAGACAACTGGTTTACACAGATTACTGAGCTGGATGGCACCAGCTGATGCATCAGAATTTTAGGGTCCGAAAAATATTTCATGCACCAATCTTAGGTTTTACAATAGTGATGTCATCTCTAGGAGCTTCTAGCTGCATGACTCCTAAACCATAATTTCTTATCTTGTGGCCAATTTGTTAGTCTTACGAAGACAGTCTGGTCCCCAAGCAAGAAGGGCATTTATTTCTAGAAAGAGCTGTTAACATCTTTATTTCAAAGTTAAACTACAAACTGAAGTCCTCCCAAAAGTTAGTTTGGCCTTTTTGCCCAGGAACAAGGGCAGTTTGGAGGATGAAAATATGATGGAATCAGTTGGTAAGATCTCTTTCACTGTCACACTTTTCTCACTGTTACAATTTTTGCAAAAAATTAAAATATCACAGTCAGGTCAACAAAATACCACAGTTGCAAAAAAAAAAAAAAAAAAAAACCACAGTCAATTTAAATACCACAGTCAGGTCAACAAATATTTTGAAAATAGGAAAAAGGGACTTTTCAAATTAATTTTTAAAAGATTAACCCCAGAAAGTCTTGTACAGGGTAGAAAAGCAATAGGAAAATTATATACTGTGATGATTCTGTGAAACTAGTGGGTCAGAAATAAGTGTTTCCAGGCCAGGGCCTGGTGGCACCAGAATGAGCTCTTGGCAGTGGCCAGCTTCGTGTGTTGGGTTCACATGTTGGTTCGCCCATGTGGCTGGCTGCATACCTGATTTTGGTGAGTGCTGAGTCTAGAAAGCCTGATCTCATGAGTCGTGAGGCTAGGAAGCCTGAGGCATTGGTGTCCCTGACCATTGCCTAGACGTTTCTTGTGGCCGGCTAGAGACCAGTCCAACTCCCTGTCCCCTCCTTCCCCTAAACTCGCTAAGAAGTTCATCTGCTCCTTCCAGGACTATACGTAGCATCAATTACAATAAGGTCCAGATGCTTGAAGAGCACCTTTGCAAGCACAAGAGGAAGAGACCATTCATTTGTGACTATGAAGGATGTGGCAAGACTTTCCTCAGGGTCTACCACCTGAGTCACAACATCCTGATTCATACGGAAGAAAAGGTGTTTATGTACTAGTGGCTGTGATAAAAAAAATGCAACACAATATCAAACTTGAAGAAATATTTTGAACACAAAGATGAGATTCAGCAAACAACATGTATGCAATTTTGAAGGCTGTAAAAATATCTTTAAGGAACAACAGCTGAAAATCCATCAGTGCCAGCATACCAACGAACCCAGAAAGGATGTGGGAAACACTCCCTGACCCAGCAGACTGAAACAACACACGAAAGTCCAGTAGAGCTAGATGTCAAAAGAGATGTTCCTTTGTGGCAAAAACATGGGTTGAACTTCTGAAATATGTGAGGAAAAAAAAAACCCATATAGAGGAAATAATGTGAATATGCCAGAAAATTTTAAACACAAAGATTATCTTAAGCAACATATGAAAACTCATGCTCCAGAAAGAAATATTTGCCAATGTCCAAGAGAAGGCTGTGGTAGAACCCACATGATGAGGAAAGGCGCCCATTTGTGTGTGACCATCCTGGCTGGGGCAAAAGGTCTGCAACGGAAGTCTCACAGAGACATACTATTTTGACAAGAAGAAAATTAAACTCAAGGTAAAAACCAAATCATGAAAAACGGAGTTTGGCAGGTTGCAGTGGCTCACACATGTAATCCCAGCACTTTGGGAGGCTGAGGCAGGCAGATCACTTGAGGTCAGGAGTTTGAGATCAGCCTGGCCAAACATGGTGAAACCCCATCTCTACTAAAAATACAAAAATTAGCCAGGTGTGGTGGTATGCACCCTTAGTCCCAGCCATTCTGGAGGCTGAGGCAGGAGAATCACTTGAACCCAGGAGGTAGAGGCTGCAGTGATTCTAGTCATGCCACTGTACTCCAGCCCAGATGACAGAGTGAGATTCTATCTCCAAAAAAAAGAAAAACAGAGTTTGGCCTCTGATCTCAGCGGATATATCTCTCCTAAAAAGAAAGAAAAAAAAAAAAGAAAAACAGAGTTTGGCCTCTGATCTCAGCGGATATATCTCTCCTAAAAAGAAAGAAAAACAAGACTTACCTTTGCCTAAAAATGGAGAGACGCTGAACTGTACTAGAGACATGGTGCAATAACTTACCCTCGACTAAATATCACATTACTTTGTTTAAAAGACTACAAACCAGTGAGTTTTCTTTCAGAAGCATCTTTTTTTAATTAAAATAACTGATGCAGAACAACAATGTGTTTTCTATGTGCACTTGGTCAACACCTACATCATTATTATGTCTCCTTTGAGCTGGTACTGGGTGCAGAGGATGCGAAAAAAAAAAAAAAAGAAGAAATAAAAATGAGTCACCATCAGGGATTTCCTCCAGGAGGCAATGTCACTCTGGGAGGACACCAGTGACCCAGGGATTATATTACCAGCTTCAATTCTATCTAGGTAATATAATCTGGTAATATTGCTGGCCCTCAGAGAGGCATGACTGCTGAGGTCAGGAGCCTTTATAAAAGGGAAACCCTGGCCTTTCAGCTAGATGCCTCTATGCACCCCTTCAGGCCCACTCTCCACCTCCCACAACCCTGCTTTATGGCCACAGAGACTGACTTTCTAGGCTGCTTCCCCAGGCAAACTTGCTGTCAGTCAAGGTGGTGGGATTTAGTGAGGTTTCACCAAGCTATGCTTCATGGCCAACTACCTCAGATTATTACAATAAGTATCTCTTCCTGTTTCATGTTAAATAAGGGCTCGGAGTAGGTGGCATATCTGTGGTACTATGGCTCAGCTGCAGGTATGGGGACACCACAGGTGTGTTCCAACATGTCTTCTCATCCAGGGACCCCTGCTGAAGGATCAGTCACCCTTGGGGCATACACTGAGGTTAGAGCTTTTCTTTATTGAGCTTCCTCCTTACCAGAATTTTATGGTTGGCAGATCCCATGTACTGAATCCTTAGCTGCTGCCTAACAATCCCTTCCTAGAGCTGTATTCTCTGGGCCCAGTCTCTGCTGCTCCTTGACTCTTGGCTACAAAAAGCAGCACTATTCTTGAGAGAAATTCAGCCCTGCCAATACTGTGATCCTAGTCTGGTGAGACTGGTGTAGGACTTCTCTGACCTGTAATACTATACATTTGTATTGGTTTGAGCCATGAGGTTTGTGGTGATTTATTATGGAAGCAATAGAAAAGTAATAAACCCTCTCTCCTGTTGTCAGGAAGTAAAGGAAATCATGAGTCTTGAAAGGCACATGTCAAGGGTGATGAAAAGAATGCAACAATTGAGCATGCCAAGTAGCTTAGCATCCACTTAAAAACAGCTCCTATCTAAACCACTCTTCCTGAGATTGTAAATATTGCTCAAGGCCATTTATCTTAGAAATAAGGAAATTTGCAGACCCTATAAAACATCCCCTTCACTGGATGCAACTCATTGCTCAATCAGTCAAACAATAAAGACTTGTGTAAAAGGAAAAAAAAATGTGAGTTAGGGCAGCCCAAGTGAAAATGCCTCTGTACAGGGGGTGGCATGGGAAAACTATACTAGTGGAAAGGAGTAGAGTGGGTTTCATGGTGGGGATGAAGTTGCTGAAAGTAATACCCTAACAACAGATGATCTGTAAGAAAAGGACCATATGCTGGTGCAGAAGCTGTACCCAAAAAGGACCATATGCTGGTGCAGAAGCTGTACCCAAAGTCAGACTACAAACCATCAACTGTATCTTCTGCCACCTCATTTTTCACCAGGCTCAGTCTAGCAATACTCCAAGGAAGAACATTTCTTTGGTGTAGCTCCACACATATCTTCTCTCCTGGCTTGTGATAGGTACCTGTCAAAACTTCCTGGGAGTGGAAGACTGAAGGCTGTTTCTTTTAGAACATGCTGTTTCCCTTACAATTTTCTTAGATAGAAACCAATGCAGGACATTCCTATAGACTGGTGGTTTTCAAATATCTTCTGCAGAATCTTAGAATCTTGGGGCCTCATATAACTGGGATAGTTTAAGCAATAGAGATTCTTCCCCTAATTTCTCCTTCAACTATAAGAGCTCTGCATCTATATGTTGACATGTATGAATTCTGTATTAAGATTTTATTTGATCCTCACCTCAGCAGCAAATATACAAAAATTGGAACAATACAGAGAAGATTAGGATGGCCCCTGTACAAGGATTACATGCAAATTCGTGAAGCATTCCATATTTTTAACTCACATAAATCTGGGCACCTTTTCAACTGGCAACTGGAACACCTGGGAGACAGAGTTGCCTGTGCAACTGAAAAAAAAAGGGCACTGAAACAGGGAGCCAGGTGATCTAGCTCGGTGGGTCCCACCCCAACAAAGACCAGCAATCTGAAATGCTCCGGATTGAGAGTTTCACAGCAAGCACAGCTGGACCCAGGACAGTCCACCTCTGTCGGGCAAGGGCATCTGCCATTACCAAGGCAGTCCACCACTACCAAGGCAGTCTGCCATTACTGAGGCAGACTGCCATTACCAAGGTAGTTCTTACTATACCCCTATAAACAAAACTGCAAGGAGGTTCACACAGCAGCTGGGCAGAGCCCATGGCAGTTCAGCAACATCTCTGCTGGAAGACTGTGACTAGGCTACCTCCTTGCTGGGCAGGGAAGCTCTGAAAAAAGGCAAGAGCAGGACAGAAACTTATAAATAAAGCCCCACATTCCTGGGACAGAGCACCTGGGAAAAAAAGGCAGTTATGAGTTCCTCTGCAGCAGACTTAAACGTACATGCCCAGCAGCTCTGAATGGAACAACAGAACTCACAGCTCAGCACTTGAGCACCTATAAAGGAAAGACTGTCTCCTCAAGCAGCTCCCCAAACCCCATATATCCAAAGAATCACCTCATAAAGGAGCACTCAGGCTGACATCTGGCGGGTTTCCTTCTGGGACAAACATAGTAGAAGAAAAAACTGCCAGCAGCACTTACTGTTCTGTAACCACTGCAGGTCATCCCCAGGAAAGCAGGGTCTGGAATGGACCTCCAGCAGTCCTACAGCAGAGGGGCCTGACTGTTGGAAGGAAAACTAAGAAACAGAAAGAAATAATTTCATCATCAACAAATACGACGTCCACTCAGAGAACCAATCTGAAAGTCACCGACTACAAAGACCACAGGGAGATAAATCCTCAAAGATGGAAAGAAACCAGCATAAAAAGGATGAAAACACCCATAACCATATATTTCTCCTTCTCCAAGGGATCACAACTCCTCACCAGCAAGGGAATATAAGACTGGATGGGGAATGAGTCTGATGAACTGACAAAAGCAGATTTCAAAAGGTGGGTAATAAGAAACTTCTCTGAACTAAAAGAACATGTTCTAATCCAATGCAAAGAAACTAAAAACCTTGAGAAAAGCTTTGACAAAATGCTAACAAGAATAAACAGGTTTGAGAAGAATATAAACAAATTGATGGAGCTGAAAAACACAACACGAGAACTTCATGAAGCATGCACAAGTTTCAATAGCAGAATTGACCAACCAGAAGAAAGTATATGAGAGGTTGAAGATCAACTCAATGAAATAAAATGAGAAGGCAAGATGAGAGAAAAAAGAATAAAAAGAAATGAACAAAGTCTCCAAGAAATATTGGATTATGTGAAAAAACCTAATCTACGTTTGATAGGTCACGGAGAGAATGAATCCAAGCTGGAAAACACTCTTCAGGATGTTATCCAAGAAAATTTCACCAACCTAGCAAGGCAGGCCAATATTCAAGTCCAGGAAATACAGAGAACACCACAAAGGTATTCCTCAAGAGAGCAACCCCAAAGCACATAATCATCAGTTGAAATGAAGGAAAAAATGCTAAGGGCAGCCAGAGAGAAAGGTCGGGTTACCCACAAAGGGAAGCCCATCAGACTCACAGCGGATCTCTCAGCAGAAACCCTACAAGCCAGAAGAGAGTGGGGGCCAATATTCAACATCCTTAAAGAAAAGAACTTTCAACCTAGAATTTCATATCCAACCAAACTAAGTTGCATAAGCGAAGGAGAAATAAAATCCTTTATGGACAAGCAATTGCTCAGAGATTTCATCACCTCCAGGCCTGCTTTATAAGAGCTCCTGAAAGAAGCACTAAACATAGAAAGGAACAACCAGTACCAGCCACTCCAAAAACATACCAAATGATACAGAGTATCAGCACAATGAAGAAACTGCATCAACTAATGGGCAAAACAACCAGCTAGCATCAAAATGGCAGGATCAAATTCACACATAACAATATTAACCTTAAATGTAAATGGACTAAATGCCCCAATAAAAAGACACAGACTGGCAAATTGGATAAAAAGTCAAAACTCATTGGTGTGCTGTATTCAGGAAACCCAACTCACATGCAAGGATACACAAAGGCTCAAAATAAAAGGATGGAGGAAGATTTACCAAGCAAATGGAGAGCAAAAAAAAGCAGGAGTTGCAATCCTAGTCTCTGATGAAATAGACTTAAAACCAACAAAGATCAAAAGATACAAAGAAGGACATTACATAATGGTAAAAGGATCAATGCAACAAGAAGAGCTAACGACCCTATATATATACACACCCAATACAGGAGCACCCAGGTACATGAAGCAAGTTCTTAATGACCTACAAAAAGACTTAGACTCCCACACAATAATAGTGGGAGACTTTAACACTCCACTGTCAATATTGGACACATCAACCAGACAGAAAATTAACAATGATATCCAGGGCTTAACTGCAGACCTGGACCAAGCAAACCTAATAGACATTTACAGAACTCTCCACCCCAAATCCACAGAATATACATTCTTCTCAGCACCACACCACAGCTATTCTAAAATTGACCACATAATTGGAAGTAAATCACTCCTCAGCAAATGCAAAAGAACAGAAATCATAACAAACAGTCTCTCAGGCCACAGTACAATCAAGCTAGAACTCAGAATTCAGAAACTAACTCAGAACCACACAGCTTCATGGAAACTGAACAACTGGCTCTTGAATGTTGAGTAGATAAACAACGAAATGAAGACAGAAATAAAGATCTTCTTCAAAACCAATGAGAATGAAGATACAACATACCAGATCTCTGGGATACATTTAAAGCAGTGTATAGAGGAAAATAAACAGTAATAAGCGCCCGTATGAGAATCAAGGCAAGATCTAAAATTGACATCCTATCATCAAAATTGAAAGAGCTAGAGGTGCAAGATCAAAAAACCTCCAAATCTAGCAGAAGACAAGAAATAACTAAGATCAGAGCAGAACTGAAGGAGATAGAGACACAAAAACCCTTCAAAAAATTAATAAATCCAGTAGCTAGTTTTCTGAGATCAACAAAATAGACCACTAGCCAGACTAATAAAAAGGAAAAGAGAGAATAATCAAATAGATGCAATAAAAAACAATAAAGGGGATATCACCACAGATTCCACAGAAATAAAAACCACCATCAGAGATTACTACAAACAACTGTATGCACACAAACCAGTAAACCTGGAAGAAATGGATAAATTCCTGGACACTTGCATCTTCCCAAGGCTAAACCAGGAAGAAGTCAAAACCCTGAATAGACCAATAAGAAGAACTGAGGTTGAGGCAGCAGTTAAGAGCCTACCACCCAAAAAAAGCCCAGGTCCAGATGGATTCACAGCCAAATTCTAAGACATACAAAAAGGAGCTTGTACCACTCCTTCTGAAATTATTCCAAACACTCCAAAAAGAGGGAATCCTTCCCAAATCATTTTATGAGACCAGTGTCATCTGGATACCAAAACCTGGCAGAGACTCAACAAGAAAAGAAAACTTCAGACCAACATCCACGATGAACATAGATGCAAAAATCTTCAATAAAATGCTGGCAAACCAATTGCAACAGCACATGAAAAAGCTTATCCATCACCGTTGAGTAGGCTTCATCCTGGGGAAGCAAGGCTGGCGCAACATATGTAAGTCTATAAATGTAATCCACCACATAAACAGAACCAAAGACAAAAACCACATGATTATTTCAATAGATGCAGAGAAGGCCTTTGACAAAATTCAACAACCCTTTATGCTAAAAACTCTCAATAAACTAGGTATCGACGAAATGTATCTCAAAATAATAAAAGCTATTTATGACAAACCCACAGCCAATATCATACTGAATGAGCAAAAACTGGAAGCATTCCCTTTGAAACCTGGCACTAGACAAGGATGTCCTCTCTCACCACTCTTATTCAATATAGTATTGGAAGTTCTAACCAGAGCAATCAGGCAAGAAAAAGAAATAAAGGATATTCAATTAGGAAAGAAGGAAGTCAAATTGTTTCTATTTGCAGTCGACATGATTATATATATTTAGAAGACCTCATCATCTCAGCCCAAAATCTCCTGAAACTGATAAGCAACTTCAGCAAAGTCTCAGGATACAAAATCAGTGTGCAGAAATCACAAGCATTCCTATACACCAATAACAGACTTAAAGAGAGCCAAATCAAGAACGAACTCCCATTCACAATTGCTACAAAAAGAATAAAATACCTAGGAATACAACTAACAAAGGATGTAAAGGACCTCTTCAAGGAGAACTACAAACCACTGCTGAAGGAAATGAGAGAGGACACAAACAGATGGAGAAACATTCCATGCTCATAGTTAGGAAGAATCAGTATTGTGAAAATGGCCATACTACCCAAAGTAATTTATACATTCAATGCTATTCCCATCAAGCTACCAATGACCTTCTTCACGGAACTGGAAAAAAACACCTAAATTTCATATGGAACAAAAAGAGAGCCCGCATAGCCAAGACAATCCTAAGCAAAAAGAACAAAGCTGGAGGCATCATGCTACCTGACTTCAAACTATATACTACAAGGCTACAGTAATCAAAATGTATGGTACTGTTACCAAAACAGAGATATAGACCAATGGAACAAAACAGAGGCCTCAGAGGCAATGCCACACATTTACAACCATCTGATCTTTGACATCAGACAAAAACAAGCAATGGGGAAAGGATTCCCTGTTTAATAAATGGTGTTGGGAAAAATGGCTAGGAATGTGCAGAAAGCAGAAACTGGACCTCTTCCTGATATCTTACAATAAAATTAACTCCAGATGGATTAAAGGTTTAAACATAAGACCTAACACTATAAAAACCCTAGAAGAAAACTTGGCAAAACCATTCAGGACATAGACATAGGCAAGGACTTCATGACTAAAACACCAAAAGCATTGGCAACAAAAGTCAAAATAGACAAATGGGATCTAATTAAACTCTAGAGCTTCTGCACAGCGAAAGAAACAATCATTAGAGTGAACCAGCAATCAACAGAATGGGAAAAAAAATTTTTGCAATCTACCCATCTGACAAAGGGCTAATATCCAGAATCTACAAAGAACTAAAACAGATTTACAAGAAAAAAAAACAAACCCATTCAAAAGAGGGTGAAGGATATGAACAGATACTTTTCAAAAGAAGACATATATGATGCCAACAAACATGAAAAAATGCTCATCATCACTGGTCATTAGAGAAATGCAAATCAAAACTACACTGAAATACCATCTCATGCCAGTTAGAATGGCGATCATTAAAAAATCCGGAGACAACAGATGCTGGAGAGGATGTGCAGAAACAGGAACACTTTTACACTGCTGGTGGGAGTGTAAATTAGTTCAACCATTGAGGAAAATAGTATGATGATTCCTTAAGGACCTAGAAATAGAAATTCCATTTGACCCAGCAATCCCATTACCGGGTATATACCCAAAGGATTATAAATCATCCTGTTATAAGGACACATGCACACGAATGTTCATTGCAGCACTGTTTGCAATAGCAAAGACTTGGAACCAACCCAGATGCCCATCAGTGATAGACTGGACAGGGAAAATGTGGCATGTATACACCATGGAATACTATGCAGCCATAAAAAAAGATGAGTTTGTGTCCTTTGTAGGGACATGGATGAACCTGGAAACCATCATTCTCAGCAAACTGATACAAGAACAGAAAACCAAACACCACATGGTCTCACTCATAGGCGGGTGTTGAACAATGAGAACACATGGACACAGGGAGGGGAGCATCACACACTGAGGTGTATGGGGGAGAACTAGGGGAGGGACAGCAGTGGGCGGGGAGTTGGGGAGGGATAGCATGGGGAGAAATGCCAGATATAGGTGATGGGGAGGAAGCCAGCAAACCACATTGCCAGGTATGTACCTATGCAACAATACTGCATGTTCTTCACATGTACCCCAAAACCTAAAATGCAATGAAATATTTTTTTAAAATATTTTATTTGATGAGAATTTCTGCTTTTAAGCAAAATTTGAAGACTACTGAGCTAAATAAAGTTTATTAAGTCCATGGAGAGAATACTTTCTGTCCCAGAGTTGCCTGACAGCTAACTGTAAAAAAGGTTGAGCACTTGATGCCAAGTAGAGTAGTCCCCTTATCCATGGGGATACATTCCAAGACCACCAATGGATGCCTGAAACCACAGATTGTACCAAACCCTCTATATTTTACTGTTTTCCCCCATATACACATACCTTTGATAAAGTTTAGTTTATAAATTAGGCACACTAAGAGATTATCAAAAACTAATAAAATAGAACAGTTATAACAAAATGATGTAATAAAATTTATGTGAATGTGGTCTGTCTCTCATTTTCAAAATACTGTAACATTTTCAGAACACAGGCCAGGCACGGTCACTCACACCTATAATCCCAGCACTTTGGGAGGCCAAGGCAGGCAGATTACGAGGTCAGGAGTTTGAGATCAGCCTGGCCAACATGGTGAAACCCCATCTCTACTAAAAATACAAAAATTAGCCAGGTGTAGTGACAAGCACCTGTAATCCCAGCCACTCAGGAAACTGAGGCAGGAGAATTGCTTGAACCCAAGAGGTGAGCCGAGACCACAGCACTGCACTCCAGCCTGGGCTGGAGTGAGACTCTGTCTCAAAAAAAAAATACATATATATATATATATATATATATATATATATATATATATATATATATATTTTCAAACCACAGTTAACTGCAGAAAATAAAACTGCAAATAAGCAGGGAGTGCTATACCTGCTATTTCTCAATTAGTGCAGCTTATGCTTTTTCTAGGCACCAGGGACGGAAACAGAGAGAGAACTTGACCTCTGTGATTTCCACAAAACAAACAAAAACCAGGCTAACCGGTGTATAGCAAACTAAATGGTTCTAAATCCTTGTACATTCATTTGACAATCAGCACTTTCCTTTCTAGCTACATCTCTTGTCAAGGAATGAACTAGCAAGAGGTTGAGAGTAAAATCAAACATTGGCTTGATGATCTCCCAGGAAGGGCAGTTGTCTGCTGCCTAGCACTTCTCTTCACCCATTAATCCACAATACAGCAGGTTGGGATCTGTCCAGTGATCACTTAATAAGGGGCATGAGGAGCACAGGCAGAATACATTTTCCAGAACTTTTCATTTTTATATACTGGATGCTAATCAGCAAACCTCTAAAGGTAGATTCACTGATTATTTTTCTAAAGGGTTAAATACATGTTCTAAAAAAAAGTGCAAAGTAAAAATTTTTAGAATTGGCTATGGGACATGTAACTCACTTTTCATACCATATGGGGATGATAGGCATTCTAGAATGTCTTCCCTCTATCCCTCAGCTCTTCTCTCTCTCCCTCTTTTTCTCAATCCAATCATATCCCCCTCACAAAACTCTACGTGTCACTTCCTGATGTCCCTATTCCCTTCCTCAAGACATACCATCCTTATGTCTCCACAACAATGCAGATTCCAGTCCCAAGTCATCTAAAATCTTACAACCTGTCACCTGAGACTTTGTATCCCTTTCACTAGGGTATCTGCTCTGGCTTCTGCTCAGTATCCCCCACAAGGAAGCTCTGGTCCCTTTGAAAAGGGGAGGAAGAAAATGATGGTGCTTCAATTTCAGCACAGTATTTTTTCACCAAAATTTCTTCACAAGAAGGCAAACACAACTTATTAATGAAAGAATGCCTCTTTTCTTCCAACTAGCTAGCTGATCTGGTCTACGTGAAGGACATAGATCTTCATCATCTCAGTTGTGACTTGACTTCTTGTGAAATAATCACCCTGGTCTAATGCTCCTAAAAGACTCTGACTTCTTTCCTGACCTGGATTTTTCAAATTAATGGTGTTTTATGATGATCTTCTTATTGTAAGGACTAGCTTAATTGCCTTATGACTAGAAAACATGGTTTATTTGAAATCGCTTTTTAAAAAATGTATACTTAAAAGATTAATTTTTAAAAATTGAGGTAAAATTCACATGAAATAAAATTAACCAGAAGAAAGAGGAAGATCACTGAATAGGAACAGCTCTGGAGTGTGCTTCCCAGTGAGAACAACTCAGAGGGTGAGTGATCACCGCATTTCCAAATGAGTTTTTACTACTCATTGACCAGGAGATTCCTGGGCTGGAAATTGCCAGCATGGCTGTTTCAACTGGCGCTGCAGGTTTCCATACAAAAACTCACACAAATCTGGGTGGCTGTTTCAACTGGTGCCTGGAACTACTGGGAGACAGAGCCACCCATTCAACTGAAAGAGAGGGGCTGAAACAGAAAGCCAGGTGATTTGGCTTGGTCGGTAACACCCCCACAAAGACCAGCAATATGAAATGCTCTGGATTCATAGTTTCGCAGCAAATGCAGCTGGGACAGTCCAGCTCGGTTGGGGGAAGGGCATCTGCAATTACTGAGGCAGTCCACCACTACCAAGGCAGTCCGCCATTACCAAGGCAGTCCACCACTACCAAAGCAGTCTGCCATTACTGAGGCAGTCTGTCATTACTGAACCAGTCCACCATTTCAGAGGCAGTTCTAACTGTACCTCTGTAAACAAATCTGCAAGGAAGTTTACACAGCAGCTGGGCAGAGCCTGCAGTAGCTCAGCAACACCTCTGCTGGCACTTTGTGACTAGACTACCTCCTTGCTGGGCAGGGCACCTTTGAAAACAGGCAGCAGCACATCAAGAACTCATAACTATAGCCCCACCTTCCCAGGACAGAGCACCTGGGAAAAGAGGCTGTTAATGAGTTCCGCTACAGCAGACTTAAAGGTACCTGCCCAGCAGCTCTGAATGGAACAAAGGAGCTCACAGTACAGCACTTGAGCTCCTATAAGGGACAGACTGTCTCCTCAAACAGCTCCCCAACCCCCGTATATACAAAGAGGCACCTCATAAAGGAGAGCTCAGGCTGATATCTGGTGGGTACCCTTCTGGGACGAAGCTAACAGAAGAAGAAACTGGCAGCAACCCTTACAGTTCTGCAGCCCCTGCAGGCGATCCCCAGGCAAGCAGGGTCTGGAGTGGATCTCCAGCAATCCTACAGCAGAGGGACCTGACGTTAGAAGGAAAACTAAAAACCAGAAAGAAATAGCTTCAACATCAACAAGAAGGACGTCCACTCAGAGACCACATCCGAAAGTCACCAACTACAAAGACCATAGGTAAATAAACCCACAAAAATAGGAAGAAACAAGTGCACAAAGGATGAAAACACCAAAAACCAGAATGCCTCTCCTCCTCCAAGGGATCAGAACTCCTCATCAGCAAGGGAACAAAGCTAAATGGAGAATGAGTCTGATGAATTGACAGAAGCAGGCTTCAAAAGGTAATAACAAACTTCTCTGAGCTTAAAGAACATGTCCTAACCCAATGCAAAGAGAAACGAAGAACCTTGAAAAAAGGTTAGAGGAAATGCTAAATAGAATAAACAGGTTAGAGAAGAATATAAATAAATTGATAAAGCTGAAAAACACAACACGAGAACTTCACAAAGCATGCACAAGTTTCAATAGCAGAATTGACCAACCAGAAGAAAGGATATCAGAGATTGAAGATCAACTCAATGAAATAAAATGAGAAGGCAAGAGTAGAGAACTAAGAGTGAAAATAAATGAACAAAACTCCAAGAAATATGGGATTATGTGAAAAGACCTAATCTACGTTTGATACATGTACCTGAATGTGACAGAGAGAGTGAATCCAAGCTGGAAAACACTCTTCAGTATATTATCCAGGAGAACTTCCCCAACCTAGCAAGGAAGGCCAACTCTCAAGTCCAGGAAATTCAGAGAACACCACAAAGATATTCCTTAAGAAGAGCAACCCCAAGGCATATAATCATCAGTTTCACCAGGGTTGAAATGAAGGAAAAAATGCTAAGGGCAGCCAGTGAGAAAGGTCTGGTTACCCGCAAAGGGAAGCCCATCAGACTCACAGCAGATCTCTTGGCAGAAACCCTAAAAGCCAGAAGAGAGTGGGGGCCAATATTCAATATCCTTAAAGAAAAGAACTTTCAACCTAGAATTTCATATCCAGCCAAACTAAGCTTCATAAGTGAAAGAGAAATAAAATCCTTCTCAGAGAAGTATTCCTGAGAGATTTCATCACCACCAGGCCTACCTTAAAGGAGCTTCTGAAAGAAGCACTAAACATGGCAAGGAACAACCAGTACCAGCCACTCCAAAAATGTACCAAATGGTAAAGACCATCGACACAATGAAGAAACTGTATTAACTAACAGGCAAAACAACCAGCTAGCATCAAAATGGCAGGATCAAATTCACATATAACAACATTAACCTTAAATGTAAATGGGCTAAATGCTCCAATCAAAAGACACAGACTGGCAAATTGCATAAAAAGTCAAGACCCATTGGTGTGCTGTATTCAGGAAACCAATCTCATGTGCAAAGACACACACAGGCTCAAAATAAAGGGACAGAGGAAGATTTACCAAGCAAATGGAAGGCCAAAAAAAAGGAGGAGTTGCAATCCTGGCCTCTGATAAAATGGACTTTAAACCAATAAAGATCAAAAGAGACAAAGAAGGGCATTACATAATGGTAAAAGGATCAATGCAACAAGAAGAGGTAATCATCCTAAATATATACGCACCCAATGCAAGAGCACCCAGATACATAAGGCAAGTTCTTAATGACTTACAAAGAGATTTAGACTCCCATACAATAATAGTGGGAGACTTAAACACTCCACTGTCAATACTAGACAGATCAATGAGACAGAGAATTAACAAGGATATCCAGGACTTGAACACATATCTGCACCAAGTGAACCTAATAGACATTTACAGAACTCTCCATCCCAAATCCACAGAATATACATTCTACACAGCACCACATTGCACCTACTCTAAAATTGATCACATAATTAGAAGTAATCACTTCTCAGCAAATGCAAAAGAATGGAAATAATAACAGTTTCTCAGACCACAGTGCAATCAAATTAGACCTCAGGATTAAGAAACCAACTTAGAATTGCACAACTTCATGGAAACTGAACAACCTGCTCCTAAATGTTGACTAGATAACAATACAATGAAGGCAGAAATAAAGATGTTCTTAGAAACCAGTGTGAACAAAGACACAATGTACCAGAATGTCTGGGACACATTTAAATCAGGGTCCAGAGGGAAATTTACAGCAATAAATGCCCGTATGAGAAGCAAGGAAAGATCTAAAATCGACCCCCTATCATCAAAATTGAAAGAGCTAGCGGAGCAAGATCAAAAAAAATTCAAAAGCTAGCAGAAGACAAGCAATAACTAAGAACAGAGCAGAACTGAAGGCAACAGAGTCACAAAAAAAACCTTCAAAAACTCAATAAATCCAAGAACTGGTCTTTGGAAAAGATCAACAAAATAGACCACTAGCCAGATTAATACAAAAGAAAAGAAAGAAGAGTCGAATAGATACACTTAAAAATGATAAAGGGGATATCACTACCAATTTCCCAGAAATACAAACTACCATCAGAGATTACTACAAACAACTCTATGCACATAAACCAGTAAACCTGGAAGAAATGGACAAAGTTCCTGGATACTTGCACCCTCCCAAGACGAAACCACAAAGAAGTTGGAACCCTGAATAGACCAATAACAAGGGCTGAAGTTGAGGTAGCATCTAATAGCCTATCAACCAAAAGAAGTCCAGGTCCAGATGGGTTCACAGCTGAATTCTACCAGACATACAAAGAGGAGCTTGTACCACTCCTTCTGAAACTATTCCAAACAATCTAAAAAGAGGGAATCCTTCCCAAGTCGTTTTATGAGACCAACATCATCCTGGTACCAAAACCTGGCAGAGACTCAACAACAAAAAAGGAAACTTCAGGCCAATATCCATGATGAACATTGATGTAAAAATCTTCAAGAAAATACTGGCAAATCAAATGCAACAGCACATCTAAAAGCTTATCCATCACGATCAAGTAGGCTTCACCCTGTGGATGCAAGGCTGGTGCAACATACCCAAGTCTATAAATGTAAGCTACCACGTAAACAGAACCAAAGACAAAAACCACATGGTTATCTCAATAGATGCGGAAAAGGCCTTTGACAAAATTCAACAACGCTTTATTCTAAAAACTTTCAATAAACTAGGTATCAATGAAATGTATCTCAAAATAATAAAAGCTATTTATGACAAACCCACAGCCAATATCATACTGAATGGGAAAAAATGGGAAGCATCCCTTTGAAATCTGGCACTAGACAAGGATGCCCTCTCTCACCCTCCTATTCAATATAGTATTGGAACTTTTAGCCAGAGCAATCAGGCAAGAAAAAGAAATAAAGAATATTCAATTAGAAAAGAAGGAAGTCAAACTGTCTCTATTTGCAGATGACATGATTATATATTGAGAAGACCCCATCGTCTCAGCCCAAAATCTCCTGAAACTGATAAGCAACTTTAGCAAAGTCTTGGCATATAAAATCAATGTGCAGAAATCACAAGCATTCCTATATACCAATAATAAACTAACAGAGAGCCAAGACAAGAGCGAACTCCCATTCACAATTGCTACAAAGAGAATAAAATACCTAAGAATACAACTAACAAAGGATGTAAAGGACCTCTTCAAGGAGAACTACAAACCACTGCTGAAGGAAATGAGAGAGGACACAAACAGATGGAAAAACATTCCATGCTCATGGTTAGGAAGAATCAATATTGTAAAAATGGCCATATTGCCCAAAGTAATTTATACATTCAATGCTATTCCCATCAAGCTACCAATGTCCTTCACAGAACTGGAAAAAAACACCTTAAACCTCATATGGAACAAAAAGAGAGCCCACATAGCCAAGACAATCCTAAGCAAAAAGAACAAAGCTGGAGGCATCACACTATATGACTTCAAACTACCCTACAAGACCACAGTAATCAAAACAGCCTGGTACTGGTACCAAAACAGATAAACAGACCAACGGAACAGAACAGAGGCCTTGGAGAAAATGCCACACATCTACAACCAATAGAATATCTTTATCATTGCAAATGTTCCATGTGTGCTTGAAAGGAGTATGTATTCTCCACCTGTTGTATTAAGTATTATTATATATCCATGTGTCCCAGCTCATTGTGGCAACCAAAATTTCTATATTCTATATTCTTCCCAGTGTTTTTCCTGCTTGACAACATTGCTAACATTGCATCAAATTTCTCGCTAGGATAATAGACATTTGTGTCTCTCCCTGTAATTATCTTTATATTCATTTTATGTAGTTAAGACTGTTAACAGGTGTTTGTAAGTGGGGATTTATTTCTTCCCAATGAATTTAATTTTGTCATTATTCAGTGACCACCTTTTTGATTGGTTTGGTTTCATTTTTGAGATGGTTTTTCACTCTAGGTCTACATCTAGGCTAGAGTGCAGTGGTATGTTCTCAGCTCGCTGCAGCCTTAAACTCCTGGTCTCAAGCACTCCTACTTCCTCAGCCTCCCAAGTAGCTGGGTCTACAGGAATGTGCCACCATTCCTAGCTAATCTTTGATTTTCTTCTATAGAGACAAGGACTTACTAATGTCCAATTTCTATTATTCTAATTTTTTTCCTAAAAATTAAAAAATGAATACAGAGCCCAAAATTCAGCAATATTTTTACCCTCTTCCTGAGCAATACGATATACTTGGGACTTCTCATTCCTAACAGCATCTCTCCAGACTTATAGGCTATTTTTGTAATATATTTAGTTCTAGTTTGTTTTTCTTAACGTTATAAGGTGTTATTATCAGTATTAACCATTAATTTTTGTTAGCATTACCTCAATATTTAATGTACTTTTTATTCTTCAATTCTGCTTATATTTCAGACCTACCATTTAGGTTCACCTTCCTCCATGTGATGTATATCCTTTAAATTTTCATTTTTTAAAGTCTATTGGTAGCAAATCATCAATTTGAATTTTCTTCCTCTGGGAATAAAATAGTGCCACCAGACGGATATATTTCTACGAGTTAGCAAAATTTTAGACAGTCACCCATATACTTTGCATCTACCCTGAAAGGAGGAAGTTAGTAAGGCAGATCTGGCATTTGGGAAGTAGTTATTATTCTGGTCAAATGATTAGTAACACTCTTTTCATTCTCAGAAAAATTATGATTCAGATAACAAGTTATGTGGTTACTAGAATAAAGTCTGTATGGCTCAATCCTTAGTCCTCCTGCCTTCTGGAGGCAAGCTTTCATCTTCATTCAACTAGCTACTTAAGTAGAATGGAGTAACGTGTGGCAGTCCAATGTTACCACTGAGAATAACCAGAAAGATAAAGAGAGAGCTGCTGAAGCACTAAGGATGAGGAGCTAAGATTCCATGGAGAGATTAGGTAACAGTTATTGCAACTTTTCATAACAGTTACAAGAACATTTGCCAAGGCAAGGAATCTGTATTTTACCAAGGTAGGAGGCCACTGTCAGGAGACAGAGAAATCATTGTTGATTGGTATTGTGGGGATGAAGAGAAATTAGAAATTGGAAGGTCCAAGGCCCCAGCTAGAAGAGAGAACTAGTGAACTGAACCTACATATGAGTTTCCTCTTCAAAACACTTGCCAAATTAGGCAGCTGCATGGATGCAGAGACAAAAAAGAAAAAAAAAAATACAGAAAGCCTCCCTAAAGCAGAGCTGTGGTTTTAGCAGGCTTTTTATTTTTGCTTTTGTTTCATAAAGAGATAAGAGTTATATCTCATGACTGCTGGGAGAAAACTGAATAATTTTTAAAAAATTGTTTCATCCAAGAAAGAGCATAAGCCAGAGAGACAAAATAGGGGGGAAAAGAGCAAGATAGTAGAAACAAATTCAAATATATCAATAATTACAATAAATGTTCCAGTTCAAAGACAAATGGTTGTCAAGAAAAAAAACCTAACTATATATTACTTATATGTGACACATCTGAAATATAAGGACATAGTTCGAAAGAAAAAAGATAAAAAGGGATACACTATGTGAACACTAGCCAAAAGAATGTTTGCAGAGTTCTGCTAATAATGGACAAAGCAGACTTTAAGGCATGACACATAACTAGAGATAAAAAGAGGCATTTTGTAATAACGAAGGAGGGTTCAATAGACATCATAAAGACACATTATTCATGCTTTGTAATTTTCTTAGTATTTGTAAGAATTCCCAGAGTAAGCTGATATTCCCTTGGCTGTTGCTTGTCACCCCTTCCTCCCATTTATTGCACATGGTTAAATTCCTGATTAGTTCTTGTCATCTTGGCATCCTTTTCTGGTGGACATAGCCATCTTTCTTCTTTCCTCACAAACACTGTGGCTTGTAGCCAATTGCTCAGATTTGGGGATGATTAAATGGGATTACTGCACAGAAAATGAAACAACTTTAAACAAGATAACAGAGTTCCTTAGCTGTTTTTTCCAAAGGGGACTCCATCACAGTCACATTTTCCCAAGCCCTGGGTCAGCCATCTATTGCTACCTCATTTTCTCTTTCCCCTGACATTTTATCCCTCAATATGCCATGAGAAAAACTAAAAAATTCTTATTTCATTTTATAGTAAATTTTTTCTGCTGCCCCTTTGTTTCAAGTTCACCCTTCTAATCTTGTAGATTGAATGGTTGTAGGAGCTTGCTAGGGTAACAGTCCCATCACAATATCCTTCTAAGTACAGCAGCAGTCTTATTTCCAATGTGTGATCTTAGGATGTAGAATCAGTCCGAGTCTTAAAAGAGCATCACTTCACCTCTTTATTTTATGCTATAGATCCCAAAAGAAATGGAGAGGGGTGAGTAGGAGCAAATTTTCTCATGAGGTAAGAAGAACAACTTCTCATGGAATCTACAGTACAGGATTTCCTTTTGTAATAAAGTATTATCTTCTGTGAGATATTTGAGATGAATAGAAATAAAAGATGAACAATGGGAAGCAGGAAGGCATGTCAGATATGGTGGAACACACAGAGTATCTGAGAGCTTTTATTTGCAGACAAGTTGCTTATTACTGATATGCCAAAGAGGGTTGCAAATTTCTATTATAAAGGAATTTGGAAGAATAAACTGACCTCTTAATGAATTATAAATTAAGAAGCCAATGGCCAAAAGTGAAAATATAAATGGCAAAAGAATTTCAAAGTGAATAGTGCTGAAGTTGAAGTTCAGGAGTTAAACTCCAAAGAGAGCCAAAATGTAAAGTTTAGCGGCAGAAGAATCGTAACTGCTGGTTTAAAATATTGAGATTGAGGGAGGACACAGAAAGCAATGAGCCCTAAATGTTGACAGAATTGTAAATCTGTTGGCTCTTTACATGAGATTAAAAGCCTGTTAAAATTTCACCCGCCCAGATCTCCCTTCTAAGGAAATTTGGTTGTCTGCCAAACTTTAGTTGATAAAAAGTCTACAGACTCTGAACACAGAGCTGCAGCTTTTCAAAGAAGAAATCAAAACAAGATTACAAGGTAAGACTGAATATTCTGGGTGATTTTTAGTCAGATTTTCCAAAGTAAAATCTTTGTAAAAGATCAGAAGAAAAAAAAAACCCCCACAGTTCTCCATCTCCATTTAAAAATTTTTAAATTTGGGAACCATGGAGAACTGTGGGGTTTTTTTTTTCCTGAAAAATAAATGATAAGACCAATTTGTTTATTGCTAATAGCAGTAAAAGTTGATGACAATAGCTGTTACTAACTTAAAATTCCATTTTGCTTTCCTTTGGGTGATTTGTAAAATTAATAAATTGCTAAAAAGAGATTGTAATAGTTTTTATAGTAAATGCTGCCCCCTCCATGAAACTTTATTTTACTTTACATTTTTTAAGAGATGAGGTCTTGCTCTGTAGCACAGGCTGGAGTGCAGTGGTGTGATCCTAGCTCACTGCAGCCTCCAACTCCTGGGCTCGGGCAAGGAGTCTCAGCCTTCCAAGTAGCTGGGACTACAGGCACATGCCACTGTGCCTGGCTAATTTTGTTTTTATTTTTATTTTATTTAGAGACAGGACCTTTGCTTTGTTGCCAGGCTGGAAACTTTATAAAGCAAGTTGATAATTCTACTTCAAACTCATAATGCTTACTCAAGACAAACCTGCTTGCAATTGTTTTCAAGTGGTTTTCAGTAAAAGGAGGACATTGCCAGGCATGGTGGCTCATGCCTGTAATCTCAGCATTTTGGGAGGCTGAGGTGGGTAGATCACCTGAGGTCAGGAGTTCGAGACCAGCCTGGCCAACATGGTGAAACCCCGTCTCTACTAAAAATATCAAAAAAAAAAAAAAAAAAATAGCTGGGCATGGTGGCAAGAACCTGTAATCCCAGCTACTCGAGAGGCTGAGGCAGGAGAATTACATGAACCAGGGAGGCAGAGGTTGCAGTGAGCTGAGGTTGTGAAACTGTCTCAAGAAAAAAAAAAGTAAAACAGGAATAACCATGTAATTGTCCAATGGGCTTTTCCTGCCCACTGCACAGACAAAACCAGTTTACTGAGACCATGGCATGGCAATAAAGAGTTTAATTGACACAAGATCAGCCATGCCACATAAGATTCAAAGTTATTACTCAAATCTCCCCCAAAATTTGGAGGCTAGGGTTTTTCAAGGTTAGTTTGGTGGGCAAAGGGCTTAGGGGAATAGGTGTTGCTGATTGGTTGAGAATGGAATTATAGGCATGTGATAAACGGTCCTCTTGTGTGTGCTGAGTCTCTTTCTGGGTGGCAGTCACTGGTCATCAGAAATGCAAAAGCCTGAACAGATATCACTAAAAGTCCATCTTAGCTTATACAATAGTGATGTTATTTACAGTAGTCACTGGGAAAGTTGCAAATCTTCTGACCTCCAAAATAATGGCTGGTAATCATTTTACTATGCCTACATCTTAGCAGAATTCAGGCCCCTCTCAACCTTGTAACTTGGTGGTCTTTCCTTACTTTTACCAAGGTGTTTTACTTTTGGGGAAGGGCTATTATCATTTAAACTATACACTAAATTTCTCCCAAAGTTAGCTTGGCCCAAATCCAAGCTAATGACCAAGGACAGTTTGGAGACTGAAAGCACGATGGGGGTTGGTTAGGTCAGATCTCTTTCACTGTCATAATTTTCTCACTGTTATTTTTCACTGTCAGTTTCAAATAGAAGAATTGAGAGGTACTAACCCCTCAAAAATAAACATTTGTGAAAAAATAAGGACTTGATATCCTAAATGGAGAAATTCAAAAGTTCATCAGTTTTGCTACTATTCTTCATTACAGACTTTCCTTTGAAGTTAGTTTTCTTTTCTTTATTTGTTGTTTTCTGCCTCCTCACAATTTTCTCTGCCTTTCCTTTCCACACATGAAATAAGACTCCAGACTATATTAATAATGAAAATAGCACAAAGCCAAAAGTATGTCCTGTGGCTGCACACAAGTCAGAGACTTGAGAATGAAGTATCTAGGGTGAATGAAGATACTTGAGAATGAAGTATCTAGAATCTCCCTCCTCTGTACTGTGCTTCTCCTGCCTGAAGCATCCTCTGTGCCACCCTGGGGTCCTATACTGTTTCCAACATTTTTTACCTATTCCTTCTCAAATTTGTCTTTTGAATACTTGATGCTCCTCTTTTTATTTTCTCCCAGAAAATATACCACTCTAAGTTGAGAAAACTTCAGAATCCTCTATTTTCCAAAGTGTAGGGTATTTGAACTGAATCACATAGCTGGGTAGTGTCTTAAACACTAAAAACTTCTAGCGCAAGCATCACTTTCCTCAGCTCAATTTCATATTTTCTCCATTCTTCTCTAAAAGGATCCTGGACTTTCTACAAATCTTTGATTGGTGACTTCATAATTGATTTTCTAAGCAACCTAGATGTTTATCTCTTTCCCATCATTGTTTATCTTACAATATCTACAGTCAGAAAGCACCTCTTTAGAGAAAAGAATTCTGAGGCAAACTTTCACTTACGGTTTGAAATAGCCAGAGCTGAAAATAAGGGAAGAGATTGAGAAACGGAAAATGCCACTCCTGGCCAAGCTTTCCTGAGGATTAAGGAAATAGAGCTTACAACTAACTTCAGGGAAATAAGCATGAAATTCAACTGTGAAAAGTTAAGCTCCATCAAGTAATTAAATCATTACAGTGAAATACTGAAGAGAGGTCAGCACTGGGAGAGAATGTGTGTGTGTGTGTGTGTGTGTGTGTGTGTGTTTTGTGTATTTTACTATATATGTGTGTTTTTACTAAATATATATAGTTTTATTTATGTGTGTATATACATAAAAGAAAATAAATATGCCAGTAAATCTGATACTATAAGTGTTTTTCTGGAGATGTGAGTTGGACTGTGCCAAAATCAATGTATCTTTTATTCAACTTGAAATTTTGGCAAACATGGTGGCAATCAAGAGGGTTGACTGCAATCCACCTTCTTTGTATCTCAGCTTGTAGCAGGAGCATTTAGAAACATTAAGTCCAAATATAAACTCCTGGAACAGCAGAAAGAAATGGACCTTAGTCTATCAACAAAATGATTGGGTCGTGTTCAAGAACTTCAGGAAATGATGTAGAACCTCTAATCTCTTAGGTTTCCTGTAGGTTCTCTGGTGCTGATATCTGGGCACAAAAGTAACTTTTAAGGGGATACAACCTTAGTGGACCTTAAAAAGTTTAGGCAAAGTTCTTTATGCAGGGAGTGGTAAGGCGTAGTGAGAAATTGGGGGCACTTCCTCCCTATAGCAGACTCCTGGCACATGGTGCTCATGTTATTATTGGTAGATAATACTATATCTATGAAGATATTTTTGTTTTTTTTTTAAGTGAAGAGTGCAATGTAGCATAATAATAAAAACACAGATTTTTAGAGGCAGTCAGGCCTCCAATCCATCATCCATCATTGACCAGCTGTGTAATTTTGGATCTTACTTAACTTTTCTGAGTCTGAATTTTTTTCTCTCTTGTAAAATGTGAAACAAACAACAAAATTCTACTCAAGACAGGTGTTGTGATGGGTAAAACAAGTTAGAAGCAGTCATCAAAGGTAATTTATTAATCACTGACCATTTACTAAAAGTGAGACATTTATCCTCAACATTATCCTTCACAGCACCTCTGTGAGCTAAATATTATCTCCATTTATGAAATTGAGACAGTAGGGTTTGAAAAGGTTGTAGTACAAACCCAAAATCATAAAGTTAGTAAATTTCAGATCAGAGATTAAAATCCAGCATCAGTCTCGTTAAGAAAAAAGAACTAAAGAATGATTCCAAACTACTTCATTTAGTACATCTCTAATCTTTGTGAAGCTATTGTGAAGCTATTTTTTTATTCAAAGCTTCCATCATTTTCAAATATGAAAATATTAATGAGGTGACATTAAAACCTTCTGCATATTTTCTTCAGGGCTACATTCACAGTTACTTGAGGGAAAGGTTTCCTGTAAGCCATTGTTCTCTTGTGTAACTTTTTTTTTTTTTGCCATTCCCATTGCTATTTCCAGAACTAGGAGAAGTTCATCCACAAACGTGACAGAGTGCTTTACTTTTAATCAGCACCCAGTTTACATCCAATTCCCCTCCACTTCAAACACTCCAAAAATTCAATGATTGTCATGATTTTCCCTAGCCATATTAGTGCCTCTGAGATCTTTTGCAATCATAAGGATGTTTTGCTCATTATATCTCATGGAGTTCCTAGCAAAGATTCAATATTTCCTCAAAGAGTTTAACAGAATTTAGTAGTTTTGTGTATCTGCCATGCTCAAATCTCAGCCACTTTAACTTCTTAGCCTGCTGGCTTATTAGTAACAATTGTTTAAGAAATGCCATTTAAGCTGTTTACAGTTTCTTTTTAAAGAGAGGACTATATATGCTTTTCTCCAAGTGTTTTTTTTTTTAATTTTTTTTTGAGGAATTGTTACACCCAAACATGAACTTCCTCAAATCTGAATTTATTAGTTCCAAAGTTTTTCCTCCCTTAATTTTATTTTTCCATTATACCTTACACGTCCACATTCTTTAGCAATCCTGTTTCACAACATTTGATCAGTAGCCAGCATAACTGCTTCATATTGGTAAATTATTATTATTTATTTTTGAGACAGAGTCTCTCTGTCATCCAAGCTGGAGTACAGTAGCTCAATCACAAATCACCTCAGCCTCAATATCCTCAGCTCAGGCTATCCTCCCACCTCAGCCTCCTGAATAGCTGGGACTACAAGCATGTGGTGCCCTGCCTGGCTAATTTTTTTACATTTTGTAGAATAAGGTCTCACTATGTTGCCCAGGATGATCTCAAACTCCTGGTCTTAAGTGATCCTTCCACCCCAAAGAGTTGGGAATACAGACACGAGCCACTGTGCCTGACCCATAATTTTTAAGTTTCCTTGAGTAATATTTCATTCTAAACTTTTGAACAAGTTTCAGGCATAGAAATAAATACCAAAATTCATTCTGATATAATTTAGTGACTATCTCCAGCTTCCTATTTTTTCTCCC